TGTTATTTTTTGTCTCATTTGTTCTGAGAGCCAAGTCTAATTTTAGTAGGAAAATAAATCTGGAATTAAATTGTTGATTCAGTTACCTTTGTTGGATTTAATGATCCCTTTATTAATGTTCTATTTAGAGCATAATTATTGTATATATAGTTAATTACAGCTTGGATATGTCTAACGCTGGACCAAGTCCCGAGGTTTTTACTAAGTTTAACTCTGTGCATACTCAGGGCCATATCCTTCATTCCATGGATCCTTATAATTTAGGCACAGAAATGGGAAATGTGTATCTAGGGCATCATTCCCCTCTTAAAGGGTTGCCAACCCTCTGGGATTGTCTGTCATGTGATGAAACCTCCAGGAATGCATCCAACCAAAATTGGCAACCTACTCTCTTAGTCCGTTAGGCCCTGCAGAAGCCCACCTGTAGTTCTGAGGATCTGCTTGGGAGGAGTGAATAGGTCCAGTGAACTAACTCCACTAACTCCATGAGGAATCAGCACAGATGCTACATATGGATGGAGACTGTATTAACTTTTATGTGCAGCTGCTTGGCACTGTAGAGATTCCCTCCTCCCTGAGGGATGTCACAGGGGAAGGAACCATCTGCAGAGTTGAAGCCAGCAGGGCTCCAAGCCATTAGAGCTGCCCTGCCACACAGCCCAGCAAGGGGACAAGGGACTCTCTTAGTGAAAGTGGATTTAACACAGTCTGTAGGCGTGTAGGGGTGTGTGGCCATCTTTTGCTGTCAATCTCTGAGGGAGGCCACACCTCTTTGCTGTCACGCTCCTGGAGTAGCAGTCTATCAAAGGGAAGAAATTAGCAGTCTCTTGGGCTCAACCCTCAGGAAAGGGAGAGCAGCGAATGATTCCAGGGCCCAAGCCCTTAGGTGAGGCGGGGCTCCAAACAGTTTGAGTTCCCACCCTCAAGCAGGGTAAAGTATTTAGGGACAGTGCAGGGACCCAGGCCTCTGGGCAGGGCAAGGCACCTTGCAGTCTAGTACTCTAGCCCTCAGGCAGGGGCAAGCACCAACCGGTCAAGGGGCCCACACAAGGGGCAAGCACCAACCACAGTCTATGGGCTCTGGCAAGGGAGGAGCACCAAGCAGAGTTTATGGGGCTCAGGCGAGGGTGTCTGAGGAGCACAGGCCTCCCAGCCTAAGGAGGGGGAGTACTGCTCCCCCCCCAGGTGGGGTGGCAAGGGAGACATGTGCCCACTCAGCTCCACCACATCCCAGCCCAGGGCAGAGTGGTCTGTCACCAGGTCAGCAAGGACTCCATCCGCAAAACACTGACTGTGTCTCCAGCGGCACCACAGACAGACCGTAAACTGGTTCCCCTGGGCTGCTTCCTGTACTCCCCGTTAGGCATACCTGCATCCAAGGGTCATCCTCCATCTCCCCAGGGTACACTGCAAGCAGCAGTCCCAGCAACTCCTCAGTGTCAGGCATGTCTGGCTGTTCGGGTAGGTCAGGGGCCTCCTTCACAGAAGTCTCCTGCGGGCTCGGGCTCCAGCAGGGCATATCTGTCTCCCTCAACAGTTCCCATTCAACCGAGCTACAAGGCCTGCCTTTTATACTTCCTGTTCTTGTCCCGCCTCTCTGCTTCTGGTGTGGACTTCCTGGTTCCGCCCACTAGGGTGTGTGTGGCCCCCCCTCGCTGTCAATCTCCGAGGGAGGCCACACTTCTTTGCTACACAGTCCTTAAGGAACTTTATTTGCTTGATGAATTTAGTTTAGTTTGTCATGTTTATACTTTAAAGTACATTTTTTTAAACCCAGCTGAGTGTTGATATTGTACAGCTTTGAGTAGATGTTTTGAAAATATGGGGTTAACTTCCTTAGAAATGGCTTTGGTACTAATTGCTCTCTTTTCTTAATAGTCTTAATTTAAGTGATAGCTGATAAACCGCCTGGCAACTAAAAATGTGAGTTTGGGGAAACATACTAAATACCTGAATATACCCTACCATTTTTGTCGAGTTGAAATTTGTTCGCAGGGGCTGGCACATCCTAGATATTCCTCACCTCTCTGGGTGCTTATTCTGGGGAGTTTTCTGGAGAGGGACAGTTTCTTTATAGGTAGGGCACTTCGGTTTTGGTTATTTTAATTTTTGCCAGGAATTTATTGGTGTTTATTACTACAACAATAAAAACAGGTGAAAATTGGTGGAAAAAAACTATTAGTATTTTTTTCTGGGTAAATATTGGGGTTTATTTTGGTAGACAGAAGGACGGGGGGAAGTATTCAGTAGATTAATGCTCTGATTAATGGAATTCAATGTGGTTTGCTGCAGAACTAAAACAGAACTAAAAACACAATGCCACCTCTGACTTTAAAAAGCAATGCATCTCGAATCCCCAAATAAAAACGTTCATTTGAATAAACAGTTTACTGCTGTAGACTTAGAACTATCAGCCTCTAATATTTGCATTTAATAATTGAGCCACACCATTTGCAGCACATACACTCAAGTTCATCCTTTTCTCCTGTTTTTTTTTTTTTTTTTTTTTTTAATTTCAAATACTTCCTTGTGTTCTGAAAGGTATTCTAATACAGATTTTTGTTTTCTTCTCATTTTAGTGTGTCAAATATTTAAACCGTTATCTGTTAACAGCTTGAAATGTGTACATGATGGGTGTGAGATTCATCAGTATGTTCAGATGTGCATGCACTTCAGAGCTTGCATGCGTGCCTGTTTGTTTATTGTATGTACCTTCCAGACTAATACATGTAGCCTTACTTCAACAGGTAGCTTTGCATATACATACAGACGAATGTATTATCATAATACATATATTTCATGCAATGTATTGTATTTTCCTGCTAAAACAAGTTATTTTTATATATATTTGAATGATACAAAAGTAGGGTGAAAAATCAGAAAAAAAACAAATAATACTTTTTGTAAAATGTGGGATTTTTTCAGTCAAAATCGATTTAAACTGAAAACGAAGGGGCTTATTTATAGGCTAGATTGCTAGCAGGCCTAACACAGCTGCTCAGTGGAAAAGGGAGTACTAAGGCACCCCTCACTCCATTGTGTGGTAACATTAGGGCTGCTTGCATTGCAGCCCTGGCACTTGTGGCTTTCTCACACCAGGAGCAACTGGGCTGAGAGTAGCGGGTAGATGAGATCTGTGGTTCTGCCCCTACTATTCAATGTCTCGCAGAGCAGACTAGATGCACGTGGGAGAATAAATCACACTCTTAAAGGACTTTACACGTTATTTTCCTCTCCAGCACAACAGAGGAGTCCCTGAGGAACTGTGTCTAAGGTCTTGTCTACACTGCCAGTGACATGTAGGGTACATGTAGTTACATGCCACAGTGAAAAGCAGACAGCAGCCATATGGCAATGTGTAGCTAAAAGCGACAGTGAAAGGTTCTGGCAGGGGCCTTTCCCCTCTGCCTCTTGCCTGCCAGAGCGTCTGCCCACTGCTGAGTCTTTCGCTCTGGCAGCTCCCTATGGTGGGAAAAGGCTCCAGCAGTGGGGAGTCAGCGGGACACTACATGGCTAAAGATAGCAGTGTAGACAGGAGAGGTACTGCTAGGACATGTAGAGAGCCAGGAAGGGGTATATAGCTCAAGGTTCTGGTGTGTCTTTATTTTACTTGCTTAAGCTGTGCCTCACTGCTATTTGTAGCCATGCTAGTGGGGCGTATAGTGTATGTACTCTACATGCTGCCCTATGTGTAGACATAGCCTAAGAGGAGAGTTTCTGAGGGCATGTCTTACTTTTGGTGAGGTGCACCTATACACTGCCCCTTACTGCTTGTATAATTCAAGGATCACAATATTTGTAAACAGCAATTACTTTTTGAAAGAATCTTTAAAGATAATCATAATTTGCTTCAAAATAAACACAAGTAGAAAAGCTGATTACATAACTGAACTATTTAAATGTGTATACACATGCACAGCACCTGAATTTAAACATGGTAGTTGCTGAGATGTGCACTGAGGCCTGGTCTACACTGGGGGGGGATCGATCTAAGATACGCAACTTCAGCTACGAGAATAGCGTAGCTGAAGTCGACGTATTTTAGATCGACTTAGAATTACTTACTTCGCATCCTCGCGGCGCGGGATCGACGACCGTGGCTCCCTCGTCGACTTTGCTTCCGCCTCTTGCCGAGCTGGAGTTCAGCAGTCGACGGGAGAGCGATCGGGGATCGATTTATCGCGTCTACACTACACGCGATAAATCGATCCCCGATAGATAGATTGCTACCCGCCAATCCGGAGGGTAGTGTAGACGTAACCTGAGTTTGTACACCCATATTAGACAGATGGAGATGGAGATGGGCATAGTTGCTTGCATAGGTGCCGACTCTGTGGGTGCTCCGGGGCTGGAGCACCACAGAGAAAAATTGGTGGATGCTCTGCACCCACCGGCAGCTCCCCGCCCTCTCCCCCCCCGCTCCAGCTCACCTCTGCCTCCACCCGCCTCTGCGTGCCCGCTTTTTCCCCCTCCCTCCCAGCGCTTGCGCCGCGAAACAGCTGTTTCGCGTGGCAGGGAAGGAGAGGGAGGAGGGGAACGTGGCATGCTCAGGGAAGAGGCAGAGACGGGATGTGGATTTGGGGAAGGGGTTGGAATGGGGGGCAGGGCAGGGGTGGGGAAAGGATGGAGTCGGGGCAGGGCCAGGGGCGTGAGCCCCCACCAGCGCCGGGGAAAGTTGGCGCCGATGGTTGCTTGTGCAAATTAGGCCTGAAATTCCACATCTAGCCTGTTTAACAATACATGCGTGCTCACACACACAAACATGCGTGCGCATGCACACACACACATACACACAGAGAGAGAAATGCCTGTTTCCTTTTATCTTAAAATCAAGATTGTCGTAAGGTAGTTGTAGTCATGTAAAGTTATTTTGTATTCAGATTCTGTGTTTCATACTTGTTATTCGGTTAGGTCCTAAGAATTGTATATTGTTTATTGTATCATTACAGAACAGTCAGATTTGTTCTAGCGTTCTGTTTTCTTTTTTTTTTTTAATGCAGAAAAACTTCACTGGCCTGAGCAAGAGCTCTCTAAAAAGTCAGTCTTAAATCCAGAAGAACATAAGCTGACCATTCAGAATGAAAGCAGTCTTCAGCACCTGTCCTCTGGAATCCTTAAGGATATTTTCACAACAGGAACCAGTAGCTACAATGTCCTTCTGCAAAGCAAAGAGGAGAAAAAACACCACTCTCAAAAGCTGTCATCTGCCTACCACAAGAGGCACAGAAAGTCCACCAAGTCTTCTACTACCTCGCGAAGCAACGAGCACCGCAAGATCAAAGTCCCACTGCCTTTGCTCAGCAGTGGCTGGTATTGCATGAACAGGCAGCCATCCATCTTTATCGCTAGCCCAGTGTCTAGCAGTGCAAAGTTTACACACAGTATTTCTGTTGCCGGGAACAGCATAGGACTGCCACCTCGACCCAAAAGCAAGGCTAAGAGACATTATTTTTCTAGTCTAACAAAGCCAAAGCAGCCTCAATTGTCAAAAAGCCATGGTAAAGAGGTAGATGTCTCTGGCCGAAAACTCTGTATACTAACTGCCATCAAGCCTTCCAATGTGGAAAAAGAGAAGATTAAATTCTTCAAGTCCGATTTTACCTATAATCCTCAATTTGAATATGCAAATCCTGCATTGCCAAATGTGTTAGCTAAGCACAGCCAAGCATCCAACAAGTTTCTTAAACAGGTATAGTTATTGTTACACATGCTCCTTGTTCACTCCTCTTTGTAGTACTTTTTTCCACTTATAAAGACAGCATTTGGTTTTGTTTGCTGAGGTGAGAACATTCTTCATTATCTCATAACAGGCTACATTAAAATAGAGTATGAAAATATGGCATTTGACAGAATACAAATTATATGCCACATTAGAAGTACTTAATGCACATCCGTATTATAGCAGCCTTTTCACTTTGAACGTGTTTTGATTTTAAAAATCTTTTTCAGGACTAAAGCACCTGAAACATACTATCATAATCTATAACTGGGGTAGGCAACCTATGGCATGCGTGCCAAAGGCGGCACGCAAGCTGATTTTCAGTGGCACTCTCCCTGCCTGGGTCATGGCCACTGGTCCGGGTGGCTCTGCATTTTAATTTATTTTTAAATGTAGCTTCTTAAACATTTTAAAAACCTTGTTTACTTTATATACCACAATAGTTTAGTTATATATTATAGACTTATAGAAAGAGACTTTCTAAAAACATTACTATGTATGACTGGCATGCAAAACCTTAAATTAGAGTGAATAACTGAAGACTCGGCACACCACTTCTGAAAGGTTGCCGACCCCTGATCTATAAGGATTTGCCCACAAAATGTTAATTACTAGATGTCTTTCTTTATTTCTTGTTTTCTTTGACTAGCCTGCTCTGTAGATCAAGATTTTACTATAACATTTTGTAGCTCTAACCCCATTTAAAGCATGAAAGGGGCCACATAGTAATTACTTTTTTTGTATATGTTTCAAGGGGGCGCTGGAGGGAGGGAAGTAGGGAGGGAGGGAAAGAGTCTAGAAAACCTGCCAGTCCTCTTGATGACACGAGGATTTAGGGGGCAATCATACATTCATTATTGCTTGCCTTAAGGTCACGATTATTGGATAAGCATGTGTTGATTTCATGTGGTTTAATTAGCTTTGGAAGGATTTTCACATTGCATCAAGCTCAGTCAGGCAGCAAATCAGTGCCCATGCCCTTGAATGTGACTGAAATTCTGTTCCAGGGACAGGTAAAGCTGCATAAATCAGTTTTCCTATGATACATGGCCTAATTTCAGTGTGGATTATTGTGGATTATTAGGATGATGTTGTTTGTCTGATCACTAATCTGCAGAGTTTTCCATTCGTTTTAGTAATGTGGCTTCCTACCTATGTATTCTCAGGCTCAAAATGTTTTTATTTTAACTTTAAACTATTTTAACTGTAAACAAAATAAGACACAGTCAGGGCTTATCTACCCAGTTTCAGAAGTGACCCTCTTTCCACTAGTGCTTTTTTAGTAAGATCCTTGACTAGCCTAGGAAATAAAGGGTGTTTGGAAAATGTGTTTTTAACAGAGAATCAAATATTGTAAGTGATGTCCTGGTTACAAGCTCTGTCATTGTGTAGTAGGTTCTGGTTTGTGAGCATGAGTAGGCAAATTATTTCACTTCAAAATGACAAAGAAGCTCAGTGCAAAAATTGAAAACAAAAAAACCAAGCACCCATGACTCTAACATCTGATTTAGGGAGAATTTTATGGCCACGGACGTGTTCAGAGATTCATTTTTATTGATTCACATAGCTGCCTTATGATATTTAAAGGTGTAGTTTGCAGATTTATATTAAAAATATATATTAATGTAACCCACTAGCTTGGTTTTATTATTACCATTATGAAAAACAGAACTTATAACTTATCTGCTCTGTCCTAAAAAGTGGAAAAAAATCCTTTATTGAGGAGCATGTATTTGGTTTTTTCTTTCTCTTTCTGTCTTAAAAAAAAAAAAAAATGTCCTTTTGCTCGTTGGATAATTTTAGAAGCATTAAAAATAGATGATTGCAAATTCAGGTCCTCTTTTCCTTCTATAACTAATAAAATAGTTTTATTGTTAAACTAAATTTTGCAGATTGCACTTAAATTCAAAAAGAGCTAGTGATATTATGAAAAAACAAACAATTCAGCCTGGTATGTTGGAATTTTTTTTAAAAAATGAGACCTTAAAAACATTTTATGTGAAGATTGCATATACAGAAACCTGTGAAATATCTGTTTAAAGGTTTGATTTCTTTCAGCCTATTTCAGTAAACCGAACCACTGTAATAATGAATAAATGCCTTTTCTGATAGTGAATGGTTCCTCAGCAATATGCTGTCTGGCTTTAGGGACTGACATGTCACTTTAAGTTTTTCTATTTTATAATTAAATGCAGAGAACCACAATTTTTAATATCATAATACAACAGTAATGCAGTATGTTTGTGTTCTGTCCAGTGAACCGTGATATTTCTGATGGTTTCTCATTAGTCAGATACATAGCAAGGGAAAACGTCTCTTCCCAGATAGAGCTGCAAACGGCTTGATCAAATGAATTATTTTAAGTGATTGAAATTGTAAGGAATAACATCATCTCAAAGTCTGACTTGTTAAGAAATTGAATAAACAGATTCTGGACTTTAAATAAACAAATATGAGCAGTCATAACTCAAATAATACCAATCCCAGCAGATGGCACTATTTCTTTTCATTTGCAGTAGAAAACCTCATCTTCATGCAGATTTGAATTTAGACTCTTACAGATTTTGTCCAGATGAACCAACATATTATCTAAAATGACAATCAGTAACTTGTATATTCTTGCTAAGGTGTGGGCCAAGTTATTGCCTCACTTCAGTGTGAACTGAAAGTCTGAACTGAAAAATGAATTTGGGAAGAGAAGGGGGAACACTCTATAGCCTTTTATAGTGACTGATACATTCTGAAGAGACAGTTCAACTCTTGGAACTAGTTAACCAACAGTACCCAGTATGTCAAGTAGTTTGTAGTCAAATACTGCTATATACAGTACATAAAGCATTTCCCCTATAACAGGACATAGGCCCCAGTGTTTTTGCAACATTCTCAGGCTTTGATTGGTTACCATAATTATTCTGGAAGGGCTTTCTTTCTACAAGTGACTTGCCCAAGGTCACACAACAAGCAATAGAACCCAGGTCTCCTGACTCTGAGGCCAGTGCTCCATCCACTGGTTTACCGAGACTCCCATGCCTAGCATTAGTGATCGGAGTTTCCTGTCACTGAGAGCTTCATTTGTGTTCAGTGTTCTAAAGAAATTTCCTCACTGCTATTTATAATGAAGTAGTATTAGAAAATATTGCATTCTGATTAGTTAAATGGCAGAGCATTCTTCTGGGATAGTACCATATGTCAGAGCTGCTTTTATTTGCTAAACTGCATCACAGGTAATATCAACATTCCTCTATAAACAATGTCAAAATGCAGGATTATCTACTAAAGATTACCTGTAATTGCATTTACTAAACCTCTTCATTTTCCTTTATCTATGAGCTTTCATGTTGTGAACAAACTTACTCAGCACCAGGCAGTACATATATTTTCATCCACATCCTCAAATCTCTTCTCAATCCCTTTGTCCTTACTCTAATTTATTGTGCTCTTTTCATATATCATCCCTTCCCTAGCTTTAGAGATTAGTTCTTATTCTTATCATCTTTGCCACTCCTCTTGCCCAACTTTGCTCTCAAGATTCCTTCCAGCTCTCCCTCCTCCTTATTTATCTCTGTTTCTTAACAAGGCTTAAGTGAGAGCTGTTTTTCATTTAATTTTTTAAAAAAGTTGAACTGGGACTAGTGTGGGCTGCCCTTCGTGTTTGAAGCATCTCTCTGAAGCCCTGATGAGATACTTGGTTCTAACAGAAACAGTATGTTGAAATCACTGCTGGGACACATCCCTCAGCAGCCCGTAGCATGAGGGTAGGCCTGCCTTTTACTCCCACTTCCACACCCCAACGACAGAGATGATTCTGATGCCACATGCTGCTTCCGACTCAGCATCTAGTAAAAATTAAATGAAAAAGAAAGTCCTCGAGTGGTGGCTAGGGTGGAAAAAGCAGAGAAAGAAAGGACTTGGGGAAAGTCTTGGGAGTAGGAAGCCACTTAAAACATGTAAAATAAAGATTTTTGTAAAGTTTTTATTTTTATTTAAGATAAGTTGAGTGATCAAAGTAGGGGACAGGAGTCAGGATTCCTGGATTTCATTCCTGACTCTGTTACTGACTTGCTGTGTGACTTTGAGCTAGTAACTTACCACCAAATTTTCCAAAGTGGCTACTAATTTGTCTGCCTCCACTCTTGGTGTGCTCATCTTGAGACCAATAGGGCTTGAAAGTGCAGGGCACCCACAACTACAAGTGAGGTCAGTGGGAGTTGTGAGTGTTCAGTACTTTCTGAGAGTCAGGCCTGAGGTATCTTAAGTTGGGCTTCCAAAAACGGAGGCTCCCAAAACCAGCAGCCACTTCTGAAAATTTTGGCCTTAACCTGTCTGTGCGTCAGTTTCCCAGCTAGTAAATAGGGACAATTATTACCTCCCCGAGTCCTCCCAAGAGTGTAGAGAGGCCAATTTTAGCAATGTGTGTGAAGCACTTTGACTAGACTATTAAAGTAATGATTTTAACTTTTTTTTTTCTATTTACAGAATTGAAAATATGAAACTTTTTTCACAAGGATTTATTACAATTTTGATCAAATTATTTAAGAGCTTTTTAAAGGCAATGTCATAATAAATAATTGTACGTGGTAACTTTAGACATATTACGGCTTCTTGGGGAGTTGCATTGCTCTGCCTTTGGCCTCATGACTAACAACCCACTCAAGGTGTGGCAGGATCCACGCCTGGAACACTCCCTATTGTTCATTGTGTAAACATATTACTGTGGTTATTATATAGTTAATGTATTATTGTTGTGGTTAAATTATGAAGTTTAACATAGTTGTGACAGAAAGTTTTAGGGCCTTATCTAGCTCTCAGTTGAGAAGCTCTCATTGGCATTTATGAGAACTGGATAGTACCCACAGGGACAGATTGTGCTACCCTTATGCTGAGTAGTACTATAACCTGCAAGGAGTTCATTCAGTATGAGTAAGGGTGGCAGAGTTGGGCCTTTACTGATCAATTAGTGCAGTAATTTCACCTACCAGAACTGCCTGTTAAATTTCATTTAAATTCTTATTTTCAACATCTTAATGCATTTTAGTAAAAGCTATCCACTATTCATTTATGAGAGCTGGAATTGAATAGATGTTGGGGGTAAGAAAGAGAGAAGAAAAGAGGGCTGGGAATCAGAATAAGAGATTATTGGTCAATTAAATTTAATTGTGAATGCAGATCTCTGTTGCATGTTCAAAGGGATTTGAGCCTCAGAGACTATAAAGGTGCCCAATTCTTAGCATTTCAGGTGCTTACCTAACAGACTTCATTGAATTTCCTTGTTTAAAAAGCAGTGAAGAAAAGTCTATGCCAAAGGATAAAATATTAAAGGAGACATTCTGTTTAAATGAAAGAGTGAAATTAAATTTATTGTTCAGTGAAACCAGATATATATAGCAACTAATAGGTAACATGAATATCTTAAAAGATCTGGTAAGCTATAAGAGAAACTGAAGAACTGTTGTACTGAATTATTCAGGTTATTCAGTGAAAGTAAACTATACTCCTGTAACTAAGTAGGAAACTTATTTTACTTATAAGGGATGTATACAAGCATGAGAGCACAGATCAAAATCTGCACAGTAACAGGAAAGCATCCATTTAAAATGAATATCAGAAGATGGCTAGAACAAGTTAATAATTCAGCCTTAAAAAAAAAAACTTGGAAAAAGCACACAGGTTCTCTGACTAATAAACAAACTGGGCTATTAACTAAGAACTAAATGTTGCTTAGATTACGCCTGGGGGAATTCTGCACCACTGTGCATGCGCAGAATCTATGTCCCCCACATATTTCTTTGCTTCCCCGCAGAAAAATGACTTTCTGATGGGGAAGCAAAGGGAAGCCACAAGAGCGGTCACGCGACCCTCCCCAGCAGTATGTTTTGGGTGCCCGGGGCAGACGGCAGAGAGAGAAATCACTGTGGGGCCGGGGATGGGACTGGGGAAGACACTTATAAAGCAGTTCAGTAAATAACTTGATATGGTAAATCAGGTGCAGATGTCTGTTAGGGAGGAAAGGTCATGCTAATTACTGTACACGTAATACACAGATATATCCTTTGCCCCTGAACCTGTGTATAAAAATAAAAAAGGGAGAATGGCTTCTTTATAGCTAAGTTTAGTAACTTTGCTGCTGATCGACACAGTTAAATAGAGCCTTCAGATCTCACAGGAGGCCCTTTGGATACTGTAGTAAGTGAGAGGCAGCATTCTAAGCTTGATCATAGGAAAATATCAGAAATGGAGTGGAATGTTTGTTCAGCATTCAGAGAATCTCTCTCTCTCTTTCAGCCAAGAGCTACAATACTTAAAGAATGTCTCATGCATAACATTATAGTGTGTTCCAATGATGATTGCTTGGCATTGCTCCGTTTTAGTTAAAACAAAACAAGACTATCTGTAGCTGTGTAAGTTTCTAAATTAATCATATTTTATGGACAGTAAGTCTACCCACCAAGTTCCTCAAATATCAGAATAATCTAGTCGCAAACTGTGTGCATAGTCACCTTATTATTGCAGTATACTGGGAGTCAGAGCATTTTAAAAAAAGTCTTGTGTTTCCCATTATTGTAAGTGGTATTATATTTGCAGTATTAATGTGGTAAGGCTCAGTCCTGTTCTAATCTATTTTATATAATTCGTATAGTGACCTTATCATTGTAGCATCTGGGTACCTTCCAGTAGTACACTAAGGCTTAGCAATGTGACTAACATTGGTAAAGTATGGTTCCTTCTCACTTTGATCCTCTCCCCCAGGGAAGGTGCTGAGATCTTCTATTCACATTGAAGTTAGGAGGAAATTCAGCTCTTCTTCAGGGAGGTTCCAGCATCTTGAAGGAGCAGGCCTATAACCAGCAACACAGTTTGCAGATGCAGTTCTCATAATTAAAACATTAAAATCTCATTTTTGCAAGAAACTAAGGCTATGTCTACACTTCAAGATTGCAGCTTGAGTCAACACACCTGAGCTAGATTTAATATAGCTAGCCCAAGTCCTGGAACAGTGAAGCTGTGGCAGCATGCCCTTCAGTTGGAACCATGGGTAATTACTTGTGGGGCTAGCCTACGTTGAAGTGTGCGCTGCTACGCTTCACTACTCTGGGACCTGAGAGAGTTAGATTAAAGCTAGCTCGGGATATGTCTACACAAACTACAATCACACCCCGTGACTGCAGTCTAGTCCTACCCTCAGAGATACTTACTCAAGGCCCAATCCTGTAAAATGGTGCAGACCCTGAAATCCCATTCATATTAACTGTATTTGAGGGCACTAGGATCAGGCCCGAAATAAGGGAGCAACAAGAAATATTGGAGGAATACATTTGAAATGATGTGACGTCATCTTAGATGGGTAGTTTTCTATAAACAGTCCTGTGCAGCATTGTCAACTCTCATCGTTTTATAACAAGTCTCATATTTTATATTTGTCTGAAAGCTCCAGCTCCGGGAGTCTTGTGAACATAAGAGAATATCAGCTTTTTTTTTTTTTTTTTTTTTTAAAGGAGATTTTTAGCCCTGATGGTTGTAGAGAAAAGCTTGAAAATGTGACCCAAATGAACCCTAAAGGCTCAAAAATAGCAGGGAAATAAAAAGAACTCAACCCATTTTTTTTAAATCTCATGATTGTTAAGTCAATTTCATGATTTTTTAACATTTGTGGTTGGCAATACTGGCTGGCTGGAGTTCCTGGGAGCTCCTTGTAAAAATTCTCCCAACAAATTGAATTCTCCTCAGCCATCCTGTCTCTGAAGGAGTTCTCTTCCCTGCTTTGTTACTGCTAAATCATCCCTACTAAAGTTGACATATCCTGGATATCATAAAATTGATCTTCATAAGTATTTTATTGTCTTTGGAGTGCACTAAATGGCATATTTGAAAATAAATCGGGGTAGGCTATCCCCATCTCTCCTATAAGATCTTCAGCCACAATAACCTCAGTTCCCATCATACAGGGCTGAACACTGTGCTATCTATATTCAGTTCTGTTTTCAGCAACAAAGTATAAGCATTTCCAGATAAATACACTTAATATCAGTTTGTGTGTCAAGTGTTGTTTGCCACCTTTCGTGTGCTTACGAGAAAAATAGTTCCATAATTAAATGGGAAAACTGAACAGATTTCCCAGTCCTTCACCCCGTATCTCTCCAAACACATGCATCCATTGTACAGAGGGGTTAAAATATCAGTAATCATCAGGAATGCTCAGTCATGATTCAGCATTTCTAAATTTAAAAATATCAAAAAATAAACAGAGATTGTAGTAATGCTTAACATTTGTACATTGAATGAGAGAAGTGATAACTCCTTAACCCTCAGATCATCCCTGTGAGGTAGGAAAGGACATATTTTCATCTCTGGTTTACAGATGGGGACATTGAGACAAAGAGGCCCAGATCCTCAAAGGTATTTAGGTGCCTAACTCCCATTGAGTATCTGGGTTTAAGTGACTTTTCCCAAAGTCATAGAGGAATTGGTTTCCATTTACTGAGCTAATACTATGTGTGTGGAGCATGATGGTGTCCATAGGAGTCTAATATGAGTAAACCAGGTTCCTGCAACTTTTTCTTAATGTATTTGCATTCATAATGTGGCTCTGAGGATGACAGAAGTTGATTACTGAGGGTATTAGCTTATATGTAACTACAGGAGTTCAGTAATGTATCCCATAAGAGTTAAAGGGAAAAAAACCAACCGTTTGTCCCATAGCTACAGATGTAATACAATTGCTAGTCTGCAGCTGGAATCTTATTGCACTTATGTCTGCTATGCATTTTTCTTTTACAGTCTGTCAATATTATGGAACGGACATTGCAGAAATATGGAAGCTATGAAAAGTTTGAGCAGGCTACTGGAGGCAGCCTGCTACCAAAAAGTCGCATTTGGAATCATGTCAGGAAATACATGGTGAAAGAAGGCTGCCTTGGTGAGGTAGGATGCACACAGGATCAATGAAAAAGCTTCCCCTTTAATCACAAAATCAGAAATTAGAGATAGAAAAGACCTATAAGATTATCTAGTAGTGCGTCCCTTGTCAATATAGACTTGCTCCTTACATTATATTTTCTAATGGGTTTGTCCATTCTAGTTTTAAATGATCTAAACAATGTGGCTTCCAACTACTTCTCTTGGGAGATTATTCCACAGTGTAATAGATCTCATCAGGAAGTTTTCCTGCTACTTGAATTATGTGTTCCCATTCTTAATTTCATTCTATTACTTGGAGGTGTACCTGAAATAACAACTCTCCTTCCTTATCCCTTCAGTTACTTGTAGAGTAGCACATCCCCATTTAGTCACTTTTGTGTATGTCTAACCCAACCTGCGCTGGGTTTTTCTAATGCTGTATCACAAACTCCTCTAATTTGCAGTCATCTTATATTGCAAAGCTTTTTTTTTGCTGCTTCCTATATTTCTTGTTCCTGTTGTATACATTTATGCTGAATTAGGTTTAAACAGGAGAGCTATGCTGGATTTTGAATTTTACCGGGTAGACCTCATTGGTTTGTCTAGTCTTACCTGAATGTCAGGAATGAATATTACATACACACACGGTGAAATTTACTCCTGTGGAAAGAGTCCACACAAGGACTGTGTACCACTTAATCCACTAGAATAGGATTTAAGTATTAAGTGGCCCATTAAGCATCATAGTGCAGCAAGATAGTATACTAAGCCTTCCCACTTCTGTAGGTGACCTTTAAAGATTTGAAATGAATTTTTTTAAAATAAATCTTAGTTTCAATGTATTTTTAAGTGTGTGTGTGTGTGTGTGTGTATATATATATATAATAATTTTAAAAAAAACCCTGACAAATAGGTACTTAAATTGATTGAGTATATATATTCAGTCAGTTTAAGTGCCTATTTGTCAGGTTTTTTTTAATTTACCTTCTCTTGCTACTAGTAATATGCAAGGTTACAATAAATGACTTAAAAGAGAATTATTTTCTTTTTTCTCAGTTTGTTAACTTAGTGCATTTGACCGCACTTTTTGTTCAGTCAGTTTCACTGTTTCCCCTCTAGGACAGTTAGGTTCCAGTTCTGCTATCTGATTTGCATGGCTGAACCCTTATGTTCATGCGAAGTCCCACTGAAGTCAATGAGGCTTCACACAGGCACAGGGGAACAGAACCTTTCTAGAGACACAAAAACTTATTTGCGTCTTGTTGGGAAGAGCCTTGAGAGGCATGTGACTGAGTCCAGATAGAACACTGGGGGAGTGAGAGGGAGAATAGAAGCGGCAAAAAGCAGGAAAGGAAAAGAACTCTTTTAAGCCTCAAGCCTTTCTTTCTCCTTAGATTGTAGTTCATCTCACTGAGGACCTGCTTTCTCGTGCCTCAATGACAGTGGTGAATGGCCGCCCAACTCTGACTATCAATGTTTCCACTGCACGTGAGCACTGGCTAGAAGGGATGCTGAGGCACGAAATAGGTATGGACACATGTTTTGAATTCTTCATGCCAGAGAGAATATGTGCATTCTTATTTATTATTTGTTTTCAGTAACACTGACAATGTCCTAGGCGTTGTACAAACCCAAAAGAAGTTCTGGCCCCTCCTACTGTAGATGTGGTAAAGCATAAGAAAGGACTATTTATAATTGTAGTATACAGTAGAACTAAAACACCCAACTAGTACCTTGAGAGATGTAGATGTGAGAAATGTTGCCAGTGAACCCCAAATCTGTGCAAGTCCTCCCTGGTTTTGAGTTATCTGGGGAGAGGATGAGCGAACAAACAACACAACATATGTGTAGTAGTCATAGTGCTTAATGCACTGCTGGAAGGCACTCAGACACTACAGTGATGAGCATGGTATAAAAACCTCTATAACATAGAATACAGTAATTACAAACATTTAGCCCAGGATAGTAGAAAGTTTCTCAAACTTTTTCTAGGTTTTGGGTGAACCTGCCCCAGTATACCAGACCAAACCCAGATGAAATCCAATGGCTTTCACCAAGTTACTCTTTTAGGGTTTTATGCCTGTGAATGCCCTGCACCACCGTTATAACTAACCTCTGGTTACAGGGCAATAGCCTCCTCTACAGCTGCAGTAATGCTCTATGATCAGCCTCAAGGAGACAGAAATACTCGTGCATGTTGAATCTTCCCTCCTCTGTTCTCCCCACTTCCCATCCACAGCAAGGCTTTGTCTACACTAGAGAAATGTTGGTGGGTTGTGCACTTCTGAAAAATCTCCCTGCAGGGATTTAGGAGCACAAAGTCCCAGCGATGTTCAATGGGACGTGTGCTCCTAAATCCCATAGGTCCTTTTGAAAATCTCTGCTGGAATCACCCTTTGGACACCCTGCACTGTTGGTGCTTAGATGAGTGCTATTCCACTCGTTTAATTACCATTGATTACCTTCTCCACTGTCCTCAAGGCCAAAGTTACCTCCTTTCCCAGTCCCCCATTGTCCCAATAGGTGAGAATCCTGAAGTTGGGTCCTAAACTTGGTTAGCTCCTGTGATAGCTAATTGTACTATTATTTGAGACACTGGTTGTTACTGTTCTAAGCTCCCTGCTTCTTTCCTTTTAGGAACTCATTATTTTCGAGGTATTAACAACAACAGCCAGCCTTGGTGCAATTGGAATGGACGTAAAAAGCTCGGGTTAAAGCCAATCAACCCTACCGAGGAAGGCCTGGCGAGTATTCACAGTGTCCTGTTCCGAAAAGACCCCTTTCTATGGAGGGCTGCCCTTCTCTACTACACTGTCTATCAAGCTAGCCAAATGTCCTTCAGTCAACTCTTCCAGGATGTGGGGAGATTTGTCAAGGACCCCAACACTAGGTGGGATTACTGTGTACGAGCCAAGAGGGGGTGGACTGATACTTCCCAGCCAGGTTGGTTTCCTATGTAGTTTGAGCACATTCTATCTTCATTCTCCAAAAGCTTTGTTCAAAATAAGGGGCCTGTGCAGCTCTGTTGGCAGGCGATAGGATTTGTGCAAAGGGTTGTGGAAAAATTAAACTCTTCGTTTTCTAAAATGGATATTATGAAGTGGCAAGGATCCTTTATTTAAAACAATGATTGAGATGAAAAACAGTATTTTTTTTTCAGGACTTTCAAAGTGATTTGGTAAAGGAATTTTTAAGGGATGTTAAAGGAGACACTGTCAAGACCTTTAGGTTCACAGTTTGCCCTCCCTTGTTTTGTATGCCCTGGGCAGGGCTTGTTATGATAGTGCTGCAAATTTCTGTGACCGGGGGTTTTAAAGCTGCTCAGCTCCCTGCCTTACACTGTCAGATTCCCAGCAAGCTAGTCTGCCTAACGGCCAGTGCCTTTGCTTAGTGTCTTTCACGTAGGCTTAATCCTCTAGCCAATGGGTGTCAGGTAAATTTTGCAAGTCCTCGGACAAAAATATCTAAATGGCAGGAAATAAAATAATTTTGTGTACAATTACTTTTGGCAAATGCATTGCTTTGAAAAAGCCTGAAAACAATACCATGACTCTGATTCCTTTAGGCTGCTTCAGTAAAGATCAGGTATACTTGGATGGCATCCTCCAAATCCTAAGATACAGGGAGTCTATCGATTTCCACTTGCTGATGGCTCTTGGAAAGGTGAGTGGAATCAATCTCCAAACTGAAGCAATAGTAGCATTTTAATAAGCGCTTTCCTAAATAGTCATTAAGTTGCATGAACATTACAGGATCACTTTCTGTAGGTGTTGTCTTAAAATGTGCTGGTGCCCTTTGCATCACCTTGATCTTGAATCTTCACTGTCTGTAAAATCAGACATCACTGTACATTATAGTATAGAGACACCACCAACTTGAAATATAGTCAATTTCAAAGAGTAAGTTAGAAGTACTTTCAGGACCTACACCTTCCTGTCAGGTTCCTACCACCTTATACCTGCCTGTTTGTGGTTTTACAGTCACATTTCTCTGTTTTTTAAAAATGTTTTTCTCCTCCCTGTTTGCATGGGCCTTTTGCACCTCAACAACTGAGCAATGGGCAGACTTTACACAAAGTCCTGCCAATCTACAAAGTACACAAATGAAATAAAAAAGAAATAATGTCTCTCTCTCTCTCTCAAAATCATTTTTATCTTAGGTGTTTGTAACAATGGCAGGTAATGTATTTGCAGACAGAAGTGTGATTTTATTTCAGTGGGTTTCCTGTAGCCCAGTTGCAGCATTAACTGCACAGACAGGGAAGTAGCCACCAATGTGGGATTTGACTTTCAGATGAGAGTAGGAAGTGTGATCTGGTATTTGAAGAAGGACACAGGGTCAGGAATCCTGGGCTCTGCTCCCAACTTCGCAAGTCACTTAACATCTCTGGGTATGTCTACACTACAGCTGGGAGCAAGTCTCCCATCCTGGCTAGACAGACTTGTACTAGCAGAGTTCAAGCTACCGTGCTAAAAATGTTGCAGCACCAATGGAAACTTGGGCTCTTAAGCCCACCCAACTGCCTGGGTCTGAGCTGTGGGGGATAGCCTGAGTCTCTGCTGGTGCCACAGCATCCACACAGCTATTTTTAGTTCATTAGCTCACGTAAACTAGCGTAGGTCAGTCTACCTGGGCTAGAAGGCTCACTTCCAGCTCCAGTGTAGACATAACCTCTGTGTCTCAGTATGCTCATCTATGACTGGATGCTATTATTACTGGTACACCTCTACCCCGATATAACGCGACCCGATATAACACGAATTCGGATATAACGCGGTAAAGCAGTGCTCCGAGGGGGGCGGGTCTGCGCACTCCGGTGGATCAAAGCAAGTTCGATATAACGCGGTTTCACCTATAACGCAGTAAGATTTTTTGGCTCCTGAGGACAGCATTATATCGATGTAGAGGTGTATTATAATAGCATCTAGAGCCCAGCCACATTCAGGACCCACCTGGCCGCCTGGTCAGAGCTCAGGTTGCTAGCCCAAGTGTCTGGCCATGCAGCAACGTCCGCACTGCTATGTTTAGCATGCTAGCATGAATCTGTCTACCTTGTCTGGGAGGCCCAATGCGTTGGCCCTTTGGGTGTCAGCTGAGGAGGAATTACATGAAAAAAAATGTAGAAATTGTCTCAATGTACAAGTTTTGCCAAAACCACTAAAATAGACTTTCCCCAAAAATCTACTGAGTTCCACTTTAAGCAGAGTCCTCTGCAAATAAGGTTCCCTTCTCTTAGCTGCTGCTAGCCATGTGATCCATTGTCTGGACCCCGCAGTAGTGGGGCACACTGGTAATATTTCCATGTAATGGTTTCACCACGGCTTCAGTAATAACCGCTGGCAGGCTTCTTGCTGTGCACTTGAAAACTTAATTTGATGTTACCTCATTCTCTACATAGCTCCAGGAAGGCTAGAACGAGTTCCTCATATTTGAAGAGGCTGGAAATGTCAGGGGCTGACGTCTAGGAGAGCCAGTGAAAGACCTTGGTCTACCCAAGGCCTTTGCTCCATTTTAGAAGCCTGGTCAGGAACATGTGACTCAGGACATAAATTGCTTCCTGCCCTCTAGAGAAAATTATAGGGAAGTACTTTATTTATATGGAGAGAAAGCAGATGTGGTTAATAATATACAACAAATAAGGAAACTATAACAGAGAAGTCATTGACATACAGATGTTACCAAGTAGTTAGGCTTTCTTGTTTGCAAACCATTTCAGAAATACACAATGGGCCTAATCCAATGCAGTTACATTTGGTCCATATAATATTAAGCTATATAAATAATGTGTCACATTGGGTGGACATGTGACAGATGGACTTTATTTATAGGTGACAGTGGTAGCGATATCTATAGTTAAGGTTGTCTAACATTTTCCATGATAAGAATCTATTTTCAGTTGTTTCTAACTGCTGAACCTTACCATTTGGGCTAAAATTGTCCACAGTGAGTGTCTGCCTTAGGCTGACTTTTTTGGGAAAGTTTCTATCAAAACAGGTCAGCTGTTAGGTTAGGGGAAAATATGTTGTTTTGCCCATATTAAAAAATTCTTGCAGCTGCCGTGCTTCCATGCTTTGGAGCAGAGATGTGAAATTTGACAGGAAGTCACTCTGGTATCAAGGATGTGCTTTTTGATGTCCTTGTGATTTCCCTGTTAAGTTATAAGCCTCTGGAAAAATAAAAAAAAAAATCACAGTTCACACATACTCAATAGATGTATTTTAGAGGCTGGCAGCATTATTTTCTGACGGTTCCTTCTGTGCTGGACTTCTTCAATCCCCAGAGTTCCTGTCTGCCAGCCGAACTGAGCATGTGCCATCCCTGCAGAGTATTGCCAACCCTCAGCGTTTAAAAAAAAAAAAAAAAAAACACAGGTCAAGCCCCTCAAAAATCATGACATTGGCTTAAAAATTATGAGATTTTTAAAATAATATATTTTGTTCCTTTTGTCTTCTGGTATTGGATCATTTAAGGTTCATAGTTTCATGGTTTTCTTTGGAAACATGAGGACTAGAAACTTACTTTTTTATTTTAATGAAATCTGAGATTTTTCAGGTAATAAGCTGACTCCAGTAGCTGGGTCTTTAAAATAATCAAATTGTGGGTATTGGCAAGGCTGCAGCTGAGCATGCTCTGTCATAGCTCTGCTGGGGCTGACCAGGACTTTTTTCTGCAACCACTTCATCTGGTTGCCAGGGGCCACTGTGGCATCAGGCACTGGAACTGAGAGCAGGGGGACTATTTTCCCTTTGCACTCTCAGTGTTCTGCTTACTGGCACCCAGGCAACAAAGAAGAGTTGGAGGATGTAGACTAACTTGAATGGAAAGGAGTGAGGGAAGACTGGGAAGATAAGTAGAGGGGGGTAGGAATGGGGTATTGGGGTGGACAGGGGCAGAAAGATCTATAACCATTTGAACACACTCCCCTTCAGAATCTAGACCTGAACCCAGGAGTCCTGAGTTCAGCATTCCTGTGCTGTCAGCAAATAGGTGTGAAACCCACTAGCAAACTGTGGTCCAGACCGTCAAAGATATTTAGGCTCCCACATTTCATTGATTCCAGTGGAAGTTAGGAGCCTAAATAATTTTGAGAATCTGGGCCTGTGTGTCTAGTGGCTGGTCCACATAGAGGATAATAGCCGACTACTGCTACCACATACTCCATTAAAGTGGTGAAAATCTGGGCTGTGGATCCAAAGGTCCCATGCCAATGACCCATGTGATTCTATATGATCTAAATTCTGATTTTGCAGTTTGGTTTTATTCAAACGTTAGGAAATTACATAGAATAAAAACTACTTTAAAAGAACAATAAGGTTTCAAAATCAAGTGCTCAAAAAAGTTAGGAGCTGCCAGAATTAAGGTTTCCTGTGCCATCTTAATTCTGCCCCCTTGCGTGCATCCATTCGGATACAATTATGTAATCACATACTATATTTCTCACAGGACCCAGCCTCATTCAGTGCACAGGATGGGTTAGGCTCAGGGAATGAAGGGAGTTGGTGTATGTGTGAAGCTGTAGTGTGCCTGGAGGACCCCTCCCTCATTTGCTGCAGAAGTTGGAAGGTGTGTAATGAAAGAGGCAGGGGGTTGCAGGAAAAGAAAGGAGAGTCTTGTGGTTAAGGCAGCTGAATGCTACCCTGGAGAATTGGATTCTATCCCTGTCTCTGCCATAGAACTCATATGTGATGCTAGGCAAGTCTTTTAAACCAACCTTTTTACACACGGTCACTAACTGTGTGTTCCTCATTTTCTGGGTGCCCAACTAGAGATCCTGAGGTCTGATTTGCAGAAGAACTGAGCACTTCCAGCTGCAAATGAAGTCAGTGGAAGCTGTGCTTTGAACATATAAACTGCTATAAAAATGCTAAGTACTCTGAAAAAAAAAAAAATCAAGCACAAGATTCCTCAAATTGGGCACCAAAAATTAGTCAACATGTTTGACAATTTTGGCGTTAATCTATGTGCCTTTTCTCCATCTGCAAAATGGCAATAATACCACCTTATGTCACAGGGATATTATGAAGATAAATTCATCATTGTTTGTGAAACACTAGATATGACATTGATTAAATGTAATAGAAAAGCCCTTGAGGAAATTAATAATTTTGTGTTGGTGCAGGATTTAAATGGTATGCAATAAATATAGCCTGCGGCTACTAGACATTGAATGAGGAGGAGGATTAAAAGAAATATTGAATAAATAAGCACTGTCCATCCTGTGCACCGAATGAGGCAGGGGTCCTGTGGAAAACATAGCATGGGATCATGCAACTAGACTGTATCATAATGTATGTACACAAGAGGACCAAAGTACAGTTACACAGACACCCTTCATTCTGGCATTTGCAACTTTAGTGTTCTTTTAATGTGGGTTTTTAATGTAATTTTAATACATTTTGTTATATGTATCTTTTACAAGAAAACTAAGACTGAGGCTATTCTTAGAAAGTCAAATTCTGCCATCAGACATGAACAGAAGGCTCCCACTGGAATTTGACGTATGGTAAAGAAGTGTTATGATGAGACCAACTTAAAAAAAGAAGAGGAGGATTTGGATGTTCCAAAAAGAATATTAAGCTTTGCTGAAAGAGCTTGAAAAAATAAAGGATCCAATCATAATGAAGATTTCCATCCACTTGGGAAATTCTCTCTGCAAATTAGAA